TGGCTGCTGGTCCCCCACCGGTCGCCTGGCCGTGGAGTACCGGGGTCCCTGGCCAGGGTGTCCGTATTTATAGGTGCGCGCGCCCTGCGCTCGCGCCCCGAAGCGCTCTTTGCAATAACACTGTATCACGTGTGGGGAATGAAACCTGGGAGGAAAACAAAGCTGCAGGCGGAGGCCGGTGGCGGGAGGCGAAGGGTCGGGAGGAGAAAGAAGAGGAAGGAGAGTTGAGCGGGTGGCAGGGCGGAGTATCGGGCTGCCCAGGTGGCCCGACCTGCCTGCTCGGAGATTTGATGGCTCCTGGGGTGCGCCAAAGCCAGGTGTGGGAGGCGAGCACTTTACCCTGTCACGCTCCTGTGAGAGTTGGGGGTTCGAGAAGAACCTGTGAGTCCTGTTGGGGAATGTGCTCCTATGAGTTGTGGGTCTGCAGAACAGTTACTGGAGGGCTCAAGAATTATTTGGACAGCGGGCGAGTTAACTGGCCCCCACGTTGCCTTTGGGCTCCGACAAATAGGCCCTTATTAATCCTACACCGGTGGGTCCAGGGCCTCTATGAGACCCTCTCTGAAACTGTGGCCAACACAACGAGGTTGTGTCTCTCTCACAGGCTGAAGATGCAGCCTCTGAGACAAATGCACGCCCTGTAAAGATGGGTTCCTTCCCAAGAACACGTGGATCTTTCTAGAGTCGCATTTCTGGTTCTGAGAGGCGTCGCAGCTGCATCCCCCTTACCAGTGCTTGTCTTGGGCAGAGGTGGGATGTACATGGAAGGGGTTCACCAGCAGGATCTGAAAACGTGTGTAGTTTCCCTAGGCAGTTTGGGTGAATTACCAAATGCAGTAAGGAACAATTGTCACACTGACTTAAGCTCTATGACACCTAAAAAACCTCACTGCACTTTTCTGAAGGAGCAGCAATGAGTTTAAGATGAACGGATTAATTTAATTAAAGGTTTAAATTTAGCCCTGGAGGTAATGGGTAACTCGCCATTGAAATTCCACTCCATTTCAAGTTCAGGAAAGTAAATTGAGTAATGGAGAGCAAATACACCCTACCCAGAGATGTGCAGCCAGCCTGGAGTGTGAGATACACTGGGTCTCAGGTTACATTTGCTCAGGACAAACAGGGCACATGACCCCCTTTACTTAAGTAATTGTTGCTCATATTTATTTTGTGTTACTTTTAGGCCTTTTTGAGAAAGCGGAGCCTGGTCTCTATTTACATTAGCCTCATTGCAACTGACTCAAAGCTTGGTGACCAGCTCTGTGAAATTTCATTAGGTTTTTAATGACTTTGTTTAACTAACTACCTTGAAACTTCTGAGCTGCTTTATTACATTGACTTAATTTACATGATCCCCAGACTCATGGTGCTGGCAGGCAGAGGTAAGTGGAAGTCTCCAACTCTATGCCTGTGAAAAGTGATTTCTTTTATTACAAAAGGATGAATGTTAATTGTAGAGCATGAGATAAGCCGGGGACGTATCTCCCCCCCCCAAAAAAAAAAGCCAAACCAAACAACAAAAAAAACCCATACTAGTGATTTCTTTTATTACAAAAGGATGAATGTTAATTGTAGAGCATGAGATAAGCCGGGGACGTATCTCCCGCCCCCCCCCAAAAAAAAGCCAAACCAAACAACAAAAGAACCCCATACTACATCACCAACAATCTCATCTCTTACAGAAGTAACGTAACATTTGTATTTCTGTCTGTGTACATTATTAAAGGTGAAATGGGGCTGTTTGTGTCTTGTGATGCTTGCCTCTGTGCTGTGAGCATATGGCGGAGAGAATATTAGCTATTAAACCCGTGCACTTTATAAGCTTGTTTCCAGTTTTTCTGTTACAAGAGTGATGATGACATCCTTTGTTTTTGTAAATCTTATTACCGTCCAATATTATTTTATTAGGTTAAACAGATGTGGGACGAACAGTATATTATGTTTTTAAGACTTTCTTTACAGAAAGGCAGTTCCAGTCTGCTTCCTCACACTCTTGCTGGGTATTAAAATGTTTTCATCAATATCTATTTCTTTGTTATAACTTCTTTGATAAATCTCTTTGATATAACTCTTTGCCTACTTTAAGTGTCAAGTACGCAAGCTAATTTAAAATATTTATTAAAGCATCAAACAAGAATCAATGTCTACTTAACCTCCGAACAACTTCTGTAATCCTCTTATGGAGAGTGTTCACCTGCTGTGTACCAGCTACAGAGTATTTCTGTTCCATCCTGTGGTGGTAGCTAAGCATCACCGTTGATACTTTATAGACAAGACTTAGAAAAAATAAATAATTTGACCCTGTTACCCAACTCTTAAAGTGTCTGGGACCTTACGCTAATCTGACTGTAAGACCCATGCTTGTTTTTTGCGCCCTCTGCTGGTGAGGATGTTTATTGGAAAGGGACCTTACCCAGATTTAATAGTTAATAGTTTTTTGTTTTGGTGTGTGTGTGTGTGTGTGTGTTTCCAAGAGAGGGTCTGGCTGTGTTACAGTCATACTGCCTCAACCTTCCAAGTAGCTGGGATCACTAACACCCAGCTCTTTTGGTCCCGGCTACGTGGAGATACAATACCAGGGGCTCAGTCTGTGGCTCAGGCCAGTCTTGAATTTGTTGTCCTCCTACTCCAACCTTCCCCATCACTGGGATTATAGGCATAGACTACCACGACTCAGACCTGGCCACCCATGTGGTCCCAGCCTGCAGGGACAGCATCTCAGCTGAACCATTCATATTTTTTTTTAATAGAGAATTTATTCAAGTATTTCTTCCATGAGAGAGAGAGATATCCCAACAAGGTCTCCACACTGTGATCCACCTCTAGCCTTGTCTGGCCTAGATCACAGCTACACACGTGCACCCAGTGGGCTCAGGAAGGTCCCGACATGTGAACTTAGGACCTTTCCCATGTGGGTCCAGTGCATTGTCACTGCACCACCACCCTGAACTATGAATCTTATATTGATAGGCAAGCCTAAACTATAATGAAGTAATACAGGCTTTGGAGTCAGAGGATCTGGGTTTCAAGAGCAAGTCAACCTCTTTGAGCCAGTTTCCTCTGTGGGATATTATGAGGTATGAATGATACCTCACAATATGCATTTTATAAACTTTAAAGTGCTTTTCAAAATGTCAGTTGTTATTTATACTATCCTAATCTACTTAGCTTCTGAAATCTTCCAAATATTACTTTTCAACTATTTATGTACTGATTGTATTATGGAGCAACTTCTCTGTGTACCATCTTGTCACAGAAGAATAAGAGGAAGTGTGGCCTTTAGCCTTTGTGCCTCGATGATTGGAATGGTAGAAAACAAAAGCTCAGCACACGTTTACATAGAGGGCAAAGCCTTGGCTAGCCGGGCTGGTGCAGCAGTGACACAGGCTGTGATGTTGAAGCCACATGAGAAGATCCTAGATATGTGCTCCTAAGTCACCTCCTTGTACATGCCAGGTGTGCATGTACCTGTAATCCTGGCTGAGGCTGAGGGTGGATTATGGCATGAAAATCCTGCTTTAAGAAAATGCAAATTCTGACTCATAGTAAATGTCAAATGAGTAACTGGTCTATAAATGTTACCAGATTATGAAAAAGGAGCTTTTTGTTAGAGACGAGACCTATAGAGGGAAGTCTTAGTCAAGAACCAGGATTTGAACTGACCTGGAGATAATGAAGACAGGAAGAAGCTACTTCCAGAAGTCTTGCATACATATTCTTCTTGCATTTCAGGCAAAGAGGACTGGAACTTGAAATGTAATTCTTCTTGGTCTTTAAAGTCCCACTATTCCCCTTCACTTGCATATTGCCCTTTTTTTTTTTTTTTTTGGAGAGATTTTCACTGTAGGGCGCGTGCGCTTGCCAGACAGACAGAGAGAGACATAGAGACAGAAAGCGAGAAATCACCCCCCAGGGGGGATGGTCATGCCGCAATCCCTTCTCCTCCATTCTCCTCTCGGGATCTTGGGCACGCACGCACACGCACCCGGCGTGAGTTTTAAGCCACCGGGTCCGGGACGCAAACCGCGGTCAACTACGTGGGAGTCCAGCGACATAGCCATTATGCTAACTGCTGGTTCCCCATATTGCCCTTTTTGAGCACCTGTTCTAGAACTTGCTTGCATGCATGAACTGTTTTGATTGACTTGAACTGTGGGTCAATTAAGAAAAGAAAAGGAACAAAAATACCTAGAACTAATTACTCTTAAAAAATAATAATTGAGGGACCAGCAGTTAGCGTAATGGCTATGTCACTGGACTCCCATGTAGTTAACTGCGGTTCGAGTCTCGGACCCGGTGGCT